GCTTTTGTCGAGAAGTCATCGATTTTAGATGTGCTTGTGAGTGCTTTCGACTTCGATTTGGATGCGATTCTTCTTGGCTATCCCAGATGTGCAGAGCATAGTGAGCGATTACACCGGCACCACTAGAAGGTGAAGAATCCGTCTTTGCCGGCGAGTGAGAGATTGACATGGTAGGGCATTTTGAATCATTGCCTTGCGAGCCAACTTCTGTTGTAATGCGAAATTTGACTGAACTAGACTCTGGGAAAATATTCCACTTCCAGGTTCGTAGAGAACACCGCGTATAAGTATTGTGTTTTGCCCTTCTGCTATGCAATCTGTAAACATAGTAACTATCATGTGTCACAGCTCGATAGCTGAAAATACGTTAAATATTAAGGAAATAATGACCCCTCAGTCATTGAGGCTGTAGAGCGCATTGATTCAAACAACTACCGAATTGAAACTAAGTACAGAATTTGTAGTCACGTGTGTATCGACAACGTGGCCTACTTGATAGCCCCAATTATTCTAAATTCTAACAGTAAATGACGAAAAAAGATGATTATGGTGAATATTGGTAAGTTCCTCAATTTTCCTATCCAGGATCAGTCAACAATGTCTTTGAGTAACAAGAATCAGGCTGCATAGAGCTTTGTGCCTATCATAACCTTACATGACATGATGCATTAGGGCTTGACCCTCACTGTCCATGAGAAAATAGTTAAAAATTGTAAAATTGGAAAGGAAATAATGTAGCTAGTATCTTATATATAGATTATAGGAGTCCTCTATAGTCATTGACTCAGTTAGGACTATAATATAAATATAATCTAATCTAATCTAATGACATGATGCACTAACCTAGATGCCGGTGGTTTTGAGCTGTGCAGGAATAATGTAAATTATTTCATTCATCTTTTATTACAAAAACTCTGAAAGAATGCCCATGATAGATGGCCATTTGGCTCGGTATTTGCCCGTAGATTCAGCCACATTTTCTACAGTATCTTCTAACCCACGAAAGAAAACGAGAGCAATGAAAACTGCGCGCGCGGGAAAAATCCTCATCGAAGTGAGGACAAATGGACTAATCAAACTTGACTCTGTACGCGTTTCAGTAAGGGCTAGAATTCGTAGAGAACAACAATGACGAGAGATCATCCATTCCTCTCCAGCTCGATTCTGATGCCGACACAGATGAAATAATTTTACGTTTGGAAGAGGGGAGATATGATGGAACAAACAATCATGAGAAGAAGCAATACAGTGTTTGGCTTTTTCTAATACCTGGACAAAATGGTGTGGGTGCCTTTCTCAAGCACGTTAGGAGAGGTGAGTTCTTGGGGCTTTTCCAAACAATGCGTAGTTATTTGGTGATGAGAGAGAGAGTATGTACGTGTTTATTTTCCTTTAAATTCTATGACTGTGTGAGGACATGTAGGTCCTTTCTGACTACAGGCCGGGAGTATCTATGCCTCGGGTAGTAAACTCCCTCCTATGCCTTCTTCACGACTTCTTTTCGGCAGTAATATCCCCAAAGATCTTCATTCGAGTACACACTAAGAGGAGCCGTTATCCCGTCATTATCTCCCCTCTCCAGCCAACGAAACGATGGCCGTTTGCGGATGTGTAGCTGCAGGGAAAAGTCTCAAAACCACTGAGTGCGGAGCTCTTCTATGACGAAGAGGCTGGCCAGCCGGGCGCAGCAGACCTGTGTATACCTAAGAGCGTCTCTCAACCCTCCTAGCCTCCTCCTTCTCTGATTCATGCCGCAGGACAAATCGAAGGTCGTGAAAGGATGTCATAAAAGTCTTGGTCGAGAGTGACTGCCGTGAAGGAGCCTAGTCTAGCACCCAAAAGTCGTAACGGACGTGGGGTTGTCGGGTAACTCATGTATTTCAGATGCCTTCCTGGCTAATTTATTCGGAATTAAAGGTTAGAAGGAGCGATATAAATAAATAAATAATTCAATCGTCCTGATTTGGCGCCTTGAGGCCCATGCAGGGTTTTATCGGAAGATATGTGCCTCAAGTAGGACGACTCAATTTGACGTTTATAACACTCACACTCAGATTTCATTTTCAGATACCTCTCGAGATCAACCCTTACGGCGTACAACCTCTTTCCTCATTCCCAGCACCATTATCGTCGTCTTGATCGTCTTATGAGTTATCGGAAGCGTATCTTTGACAAAGGGGGAGATAATTCAGCTTAATGCTAAAAAGGTAGTATCAATCTCGGTTCTGTACACTCTGCAGTGAGAGCTGGAGGTTCGTAGGGGGCACCACTGACAGGTGTTGAGTTCCGTCCGCCAGGAAGAGAGAGCATGTTTGAAGTGAGATTTAGTTTCATTCCCTTTGATCCGAACAGCATCTTTTCGGAATATCTATTCGGTACGTAATGTCAATGGCACAGATACAATAAATGTTAAAAGGGATGATTCCGTGAGATTGAGCGGGAGAAAAAGCCTGACCTGCACAGGGGTCGAACCTGTAATCTTTTGATTCGAAGTCAAACGCCTTGCCATTGGGCCAGCAGGCCCGTCTGCTTGTAGAACAGTTGAGTAACCATTTATGTATACTAAATATAAATTGTATGTCAACTGCAAACGACCTGAAAATTATTAATCACAAGCTTCCTTCTTATTTTCTCGTAGCTGCAACTTGATTGTCGGCTTGACGCCCTCCAATCCCATGTATGTGTGTGTGTTTTATTGTACTACTTGAGTCTATGACTATCTAGCACATTGGGCTCCTCTCTGATCCAGGCCACACCTTGTACAGTGCTCCTATCCTCTTTTGTTACTTGAAAGATCATTGATATATTCCCCTTAATCAATAGCCATTCAGCTCAGTATTTACCCGTGGAATTCGGTCACCTTTTCCACGGAACTTTCTACCCAAAAAAAATAAAAAGTAAAAAATAAAAAATGGTAGCAATGGAAACTGCGTGCGCGGGAAAAAGTCTCAAAAAACTTGCAGCCCCAGCCAGGCGAGGCCTAGACACCAGCACCACACGAGGTGCGCATATTCATCTATATCCCCCTTCTTTGTGACATTCGAAGCCGGCTTGATCCAATCCACCATCGCTGTATCGGATGCTGGGTACGCTCCGGAAACTCATCGGATGGCTTTTCCTCCATGATCAAGGGTTAGTGACGAGTAGGACTCCGACCCTACCACCTGATCTGATCGTGGTTAGCTTCACGATAATGGTGATAGGGGAATGTGTTGAGGGATGAAGACGATACAGACGGCGAAAGAGATTGGGAATCCTCGTCGAAGTGAGGACTTTGTTACTCAATCTTGGCTCTGCAGACTCTACAGTGAAAGCTGGAGGTTCGTAGGGGACACTGACAGTTGTTAAGAATAATCCCCCACCCCACAGGATATAATAAGGCGTGTACATTGCAGAATTAATGATGCTGCAAATTTTTTTATTGGATAACTCTGTTAACGTTAGAGACACTTAAATTGTGAATTTCATTCGCAAATACCACTGTGAGGTATACTTGCTTACACAAACAGTCGACCCTCTTCCGTGAGTGCCCATCAAAGGGACATTTCAAAATATTTCATTGTCCAAGCATGCCTACTTCGTCCATGTATGACAACGGCGCGAGAAAAGTGGTAATAATTTGCCGGATTTAAACCGGCGGTCTCCAGACTTGAGAGGGGTGTGAATCTGAGCTATCTAAAATCAACCTGAACCGACCAAGACGACGTACCACCACACCATCCAACCAAGGCGATGTCCGCAGTGTCGGCAGCTCTTTCAAAGACCAATTATTGGGTAAACAATGCTCTTCACTGTGAAAGCTTTTAGGAATCAAATTATTACCCTTGAGATTAAATACAATCTAAGTATCAACTAGTCTATCCCTCTTGATATCTCTCCCGTCCATCTCGAATATCTGCCTCTAAGACTTTTGTGCAACTACTTGTTTGCCTCTTTGGGTATTTACATTATCCTAGATTTGAATTTGGAATCTAGACATGGCCAGAGAGTGAATCGATTAGAGGTGTAGTCATAGGGATAAAGATAAAGATATTCTAGATGATAATTGAAGACTGCATAAGACTTTGGTCCAATTCAATCTTGTTGGGAATGAAAGATTGGCTTGGTAGGTCATTTTGAATCATTATCCTGCTACTCAACTTCGCTCTGGTGAAATTTGGCTGCGTTCGACTCTGAAGGAATATTTCACACCCAGGCTCGTTGGGGGTATCGCTGACAGGCGTCAATTCTTCATCCTGCCAATAGACTAATTAAAAAACTGACTAATGAGCCGACAACTGTGTAGCTCTACGGACACGTATCCTCAACTAGACATATGAATTGTCTGCCAATACCTCGCAAGCTTTTTTTATAGCAGCATTATTGTTACAATCACCATCTACTCTCATTTTAATGTAAATAGCACCATATATCAAACATCATCGCTTCAGTTTGGCCCAACACCAGAGAGGAACTAAATAACTAGTCAGAATTACAAAAAATTTCCAACGAATAGATGTCCTGCGTTGTTGTCGACATCTAGCTTTTCTCTGCACTGTCAATACTCCGAATGTATACTGGATAAAAAGTATCAATCTTCCCTGGGTTCAAAATAGGTTCTAGATTGCTAAATCATAAAAGTAGAGCTGAATACAGACTGGTCTTTAATGGGTGGCTGCTGGACACATATATTTCTTTAACAGTTCCAGCTGTCATTACACCTAACAAGATAAAAGAAGAAATGCTTAAAGGAAATTATTGTGAAACTGAATAACTATCCCAAAATAATCGAGATGTTGAAATGCCGTTGAAAACATTTAATGGATATCACACAAATTACAATGGCGGATATTTTCCAGCCCTTGCCTCAACGCCGTTTAGTCGCACCAATCCTTCCTTCCCTGCGCCATTTTTAATTAGACACCAGCCACGGGCAAAGTATATGCAACGACCTAGGATATGGCGAAATATTCTACATCTGTTCGTCAAATTTTACGCCGGTCAGAGCAATAACCCTTAGCTTATATCACATATCCGGCGATTTTTGGCATGTACTGATGTGGATAAAAGCCCTAAATAGATCTCAGTTAAACCCCTTTTATCAAATGTTGACGAACATCGAACAAATTATAGTGCAGACAATGGGTAATTAAAATAACATTTTCAACGGAAAACTTCCCATTAAACCTAAGCTGAGCAGAGAATTAATGAAGCACTAAGATTCTTTCTGCTGTCTTTGACAAAGGAGTAGAAGATAGATAGAGAGATTATTTTGAAGAGATATTTCAGAAAATAGAGCTGAAGAACCAAATGTCATTCATACATACCTCAATTATAAGAGTATCTATGGGAATAAAGGCAGAAATTGTAGTCGTCAAAATAAATTAAGCCTTGCTAGCACACGGACGACATGTCTTTAGGTTGCAGTATTTGCATTGAAAAATAAGCCAGTGGGGACCAGAGTGACAGATATAGCAGGCCCATTGGATCAACGTGGTCTCTGACTTGATGATGTTAAAGGAGTGATTACAGTATTTCGGGGTTGACATAACGATACGTATGCACGAGCACGTCGAAGAAGCAGCTCTTGAAATGAGAGACGGACGGTGAAGTTGTAGTTCTGAAACTTGGGAGATATTATCGGAAGATTCAGTAAAGAAAGTTTGGCCCTATCTTTCCAAGCTGTCGATAAATGAATGGAGACGCGTCGAACAAAGATGTGGACGGATCATTACGACTGTGGTACATCCTGATTTAAATAACGTTTGTGAAAACGGCTAATTCCCTTCCTCATCTGTGCAAGAATGCGCTTTGGGTAAAAACATAAACGTGGGAAAGTGAATCTCAAGAAAGTCAAAAAGAGAGGGGAGAGGTGGAGCATGAATAGGGGAAAGAAAGGAGGAGATCTTGAATGAAAGAGGCCAGAGACGCTGAGGGATCGAATGCGAGAGTCGATTGAGGGTGAGAGTTAGGGAGCTAAAAGGTCTTACCAGTTTATTCATCTACAAGCAAACAAACTTTAGACTCGTCGAAATTCAAAAGGGCTCGCTAGTGCGGGAACCAGAGAGTGGATAATGATGGTTAGAGCCAAATGTTCTCCGAACATAGATCCCTCTGATGTGAATGATATTACGTATTGCATACATATAGACAGGAGCTAACAATTTGACTGATTTTAACAGCTTCCTATGAAATTTTTGCTTTCCGTTCGAATGAGCTCAGGATAAACTCTTACAAGGCAAATTCCTGCAACAAGATACTTTGAGGTCAAACGTTTAGATTTTTGCTATCTGGTGAGGAGTTAAGAGAAGGATCTACCTATTGGCATTGAAGGAACTTTAAATGCAAAGTAATAAATGTTTGGATGATGTGGTGCGAGCCCTGACAACCAAAGTATGCAGAGATTGAATCACAGGAGAACGGGTCAAAACAGCGGGTCTCGACGGGGTAAAGATGACGAGGAGATGCGATGCGATGCGAGGAAGAGCAATAGATGGCAGACACGAGCCCCCCTCTAACGGCAATCCTCCCGATCATCGTCTCAGCCTGCATTTTGATGTAGCAGGTGCAGCGGTATCAGATATCACTTAACAAAATTATGTATTGGTACATTTACATATCGTATTATATTTCCCTCTTTAGTATACGGGTGTAATAGGACAATGCACATTTTCATGGTTGCAACCAATAAGCTGCGGTTACAGTGCAGGGAGGACAAGGCTGTTCCCGCCCCTCCCGGCGGCACTAGCATCACAGATGCCGCCCCCGCTAAAATTTAGAGTTATCCTCACTAAGCTCTGCTCCAATGAAACCCAACTTGGACATGTGAGCGGTTTACTTGGCGGAATGTTTTGTTGGTTACGAGACATGCCGCAGAAATCAATTCTCCTGGCAAGAGCGATTTATCGGCTCGTATCGAATAGACACGTTGAGCAAGACAAACGCTCAACAAGGTCCCATCAACTCAAGGAGCTTGGGCGCACCACATCTCCGACTGTTTGGTGAACCTCGGAAAAAATACGACGTTCGATGCGCTGAAAGGCACAAGCAGCCCCCTCGGATGAAGGCCATGAGAAGGATTCAATGTGCATTGCATGATAGCACGACAGGGAAACGGTTCGTATGGCACTCAACTTATTGGCAGTACCAATAAATGGCAATTAGTCGTCAAGATTCTCTCCAGAATCATGCCTGATTCATTCGCTTACTGTAGCTCTGAGGAATATTTCAGGAGTTTCACGAGTATCTTCTACGAATGGATACATGAAGCAGGCAAACCCTTTGCTTCTCGAGCTAGCCGATCCTTTTTAGGTATCATGGGTATAGGATCCCTATTCTGACCGGATAAGGAGCAGATATTTGATCAAAATAATCGAGGACTTGGATTCATCTCTTTTGCAAAGAAAGAATTCACGATAATAGAGCACAGGTATCTTGTTTGCATTTCTACACCAGCTACACCGCAGGCGGATAGGGATACTTGACCAAAGCAATGTTTGCTGCGATAGTCCTCTCGTACAAAAGAATCTCATCAATCCTGTTTCAACCGGGTCTTCTGGATGTTTACCAAGTAAAGCTTTTGCCTGAAATTCCTATAATACAGGAAAGCCTTGAATGTTACCTTGATTTCCTATTCAGACTTTTGCCATACTAACATGCTTAGTAATTTCCGCAGTTGAGCTGCATGAGTTGGGTCTCAGGACCCTGTATCAGTGTTAATCTAGGATGTCGTGATTGAGCATCCAACTCCTAATTGTGGAGAACCGATCATCTTAACGCTTACACTCTGGCGAAATAATTGTCTCTACGACCTTGAACCTAGTTAACATTGAGTTGCTTGAAGCCTGAGGATAGAATACAACAAATTAATAAAATCATGCTACTACATGCATCAAAGCCATGATGGATACTTACCGGGCCGGCTGCAAGTTGGTTGGTTTTTGACGAACGCACTCATTTTAGCCTTTCTTCTCGCACCATGAATACCAAGTCTACGGGACTTCTCTGTTCGGCGAGGTATAATTACACGACGTGTTTTGTTGCCTTATTAAGTCTAACGTATCAAGACCTGGAGATCTTCTCGGCCTAAATGACGGGAGTATTCATGCCTCGGATGATTTAAATTTCCTAACCCGTCGAAGTGTCTAGTACATAATCAATCCGTGTCTCTGCAAAATGAAGCCACAGCCCACAACCTGTAGTACTGCCATATTTGAACATCGGCATCGCTCTCCAAACCTACTGCAAAATTGGCTAGGGGCTACGGCTTGCTGCCTGGCTCTCCCAAGCCCCTGGTTCTTGTGAGTGGTTCCGCCTGCGGACCTTGGGAGCTCAGAGCTATTTGAACCTGTTATTCGAAAATACCGGGGTTATATGTACACATCGACTGACAGTTCATTGAATGAAAGGCTGCGTTTTCATCCCACTTTTTCATTCCTTGCGCGGTAATTAATTACTTGTTCGCCCTATCGATGGATATGGAGCCAGACGTCTCCACTCATACTTTCTGAATTTGAAGCTTTTTACACCCAACTTTGTTAAACAGATCGGAGCTGTGCCTTGAACTGCGTGTGTATCACAATAGCTTCTAGCTACGACGTGGCCAATCTTCCACGTCTTTCAACTGTAGCCTGTTGAAGACATGCTTAAATCTTGCAGAGTCCGTTGTTCATTGTATTTCCCTTCGCTACCCCGGCGGTCCGGTACAAGTTGTCTCGGAAGCATATTATAAAGCTCTCGACCCACCGGTAAAATAGTTTGGATGAGTTTGACCTGCGTCTCATTCTATCTGAGGTCTAAGAAGCAAGTCGCTGCTTAGGGTGGCCGGGAGTGATGCAGAAGGGCACAAGCGACTAAAATATCATGATCCTTGGCTTCCTGGTCCGGCTCCTCACTCTAGCGCACTGCTGGCTGCATGCGAGAAACAGTCCCCTAATCAGTCGTAGCCTCAAGTTCCACGCGCTTCTGTATTCATAAACTGCAAACCTTACCACTGCTTCTCCACCATATTATGACAAAGTCATCCAGGTCGACCCGTTTTACTTCCGAATGCTAATTCTTACATCAGCATGACAGGGCCATCTGTAGCCGAGGCAAATTTTGAAGGATCGTCTTTCCCTTTGCGCCCACGAGCACGAGGGCTAGACAGATCAAACTTCGTGTAGGATGCATCGGAGAGCAACGGAGCTTAAGTAACGGTTATGAGAGAGTGAATGCTGCAATCAAATCATTACATCTACGGAGCACCAAAGTCATATGATCTCCCTCAGCTAGAGCTGGTTCAGTCTGGCTTCCCGAATGTGCTAGATCAATCAATTCTATACCCATCCGCGAAATTGTGCCTTTGCCGTTCGTGTCCATGGTCATACGAGTGTTGTCAAATAAGTGTCTGGCCTTTACCGCTGGAGAGACAGTGGGCGGGATTTATACCTACTCGGAGCTGCCCCCCCTGATTCAGTAGCCAGACTAAAGGGTACGTACGCACTAGTCTTGCAAATAATTCGGGAAGGGTAATAGCTTTGCTATAAACTTGATTTGACAGACTTTTGGTCACTATGTTGCCTTCGCAAAGGCTAATAAATTAATAGAGGCTACTTGCAGTTTAGCCTAACTGACCTGGGGAGATCAGCTCGACATTTGTAGTACTAGGCCGATAAATCAGAAAAGGGGAGGTCGGCACGGTCAAGATAGAATCATATATATTTATACTTATTAAATTCGCCACCATTCGTAAGCCATATCCCGTATCCCATAAATTACTCTCTCCTGCGCCCAAATCAGTTACAGCATGCAATCCGCTCATCACCTCCCACATGCCCAAAATTTTACCGCCAACCCATGCGCCAAACATTAAAATAACTTTCCTGATACCTACCTCTATGTGATGAGAGTAGGTAACCAGTGTAGGCCTTGTCGACTATCGGCTGAGAATCATTAAGCCGACGCCCGGATTGCGGCCAACTCGCTCAATTCCTAGCGAATCCTTGCCATTCCTGCCCTTGTAAATGCCGAAAGCCCAGCGATGCATACCACCGCGACTCTTTTCGGCCAATAGACGAGTCGTTAGCTCAGTTTTAGACCGGGCCGAGGAAAAGGCAGCATCATCAATAACATGACTGTTGTGAAAGAAAGCTATGACCTCGGCCAAGCAAGAGATACCATGCGGGAGATACATTCGATGAAGACGAGGGAGAAGTAGTAGAAGTCCGACGATGTAAAGGGTAAGTAGAAGGAGGAGGGGGATGAAGGCAGACATGTTAAGAATGAGCCTATCGCCCTCACTGATAGAGCTGACGAAGGGCGAGAAGAGGCCACCGGCTAGAATTGGTAGGAGGATGAAAATGGTTGAGAGGAAGGACGTAGTGGCGATAAGGTAGTGGCCGGCGGAAATCGCGGATAGAGTCACTTGGATGGGGTAGCTAGCAGGATAGTCTAATAACAAGGATTCATCAGCCGTGGTGCCATCAACATTGGATAGTTCGATCCAGGGCTTAAGGACGCGAAGTCCCATATCTAAGGGCTGATAAAGCAGATAGAGCACCATGCCTACTAGTGAAGGCACAAAGCTGTAGAGGAAATAAGCGTTAGAAAATCCGGCCGAGTCGGTTCCAACGCTAACAAGGGGACAAAAGCTGTGCCAAATGGCGACTCGTGGAAGGAAGGCGGCGATGGAGAGAGCGAGGAGGAAAGCAAAGCCCAGAGCGAACCAGAGGCCAACAGAATAATCTCGCAGGTACCAAGGAATATAGCGGAAGCGGATTCTAGGGTCATGACGTCGTACAGCCTTCTCTGCATCAACAAGGCGCTGACTGTTGAAGTTCAATATCCGGTCGTGGAATAAGCTATACATAGACGTGTTTTGAGCCTCTGCCACGCCTTCCTGACCGAAACAGTAAAATACCTCTTGGTAAGGGTTTGGTGTTCGCCAATAGCCTAGACGATCGCTGCGCCAGCCTAGTTTTCTTCGTATCTCTTCTTTCGAGGCCAAAATATCAGTACCAGCAAATTTGTTAAGTGAATTGCTCCGTGGCAGTAGGGCTATGATGTCAGCCAGAGATCGAGGGTCCCATACGAGCCCAGTGGTAAGTTTGTGAAAGAAGCAGCCCGTCCCGATTGCGGCTATCAATATCAAAACATATAAAGCCACTAGAGCCCAGGCTATGCCCTGAACGGTAAGCCAACGCCAGCTACCATTCAGCAAGGCGGGGGAAAACAAAGAGCTCTGTAGCGGAATAGTGAAGACTGAGAGCCAGTAAAAAAACATAAAAATATCAGTGGGAACGTTGCCGCTTCTTGTTGGCAATGTTGTGAGAGGGTATATCCTTGCGAACAAGGCATTACTATGGCCTTGGACCTCGGGATTAGCCAGTAACACAAAAGGCATAATCCTTGTGATAGCTGACATGATAGATTGGACATAAATAAAAGCGATGCCTGCAATAATTTGAGGCAGAAAGCGAAAGATAAAATCCCCGCGGTAAGAGCTCTCACCGCTCCATTCTCGTATGCCATTATCGCGGAAACAAACGGCGAGAACCACTAACGAAATGATTATACATAGACAGAAGAATGATAGTATTATCATTGAAATTGGTCTTAGAATCCTAGGCACGAATGTGAGGTCAGGAAACCTGCTAGAATTCTTAGGCTGACCGGTGGGGATGAAAATGTCGCTACAGTTGGAAATAGGTGATGTAGGAATTCCGGGTGAGCTGGTTTGAGGTTCAGATGTAATAACTGAATAGAGACGACTGGGGTCAGGGGATGATCGATACTTTCTAGTTAATGCGAGACCCTCTCGCTCCCTCTCTGGTGACATATAATGTAGAGCAAATTCTGGGCCGGGGAGTTTTGTCGCATCACTCTTAGGACTCCACTCCACGGGAGCGATCTCGTGGCACGGGCCTGACGTTGTGTATCCTAGACCATAGTTGGGAAGAATACGCTCAACAGGGTAGCTGTCGCAACATGAGGCATTAGGGAGGATTGCAGGCGATCTTGCCCCCTCTGCGCGAGACAGTTGGTCAATTGCATAGAGTATATATGGTGTACTATCAACAGGCGAAGGCAAATTTGGATCATAGTTGTGAGCCTTATCCCGCAGTGATGTAGATAATGAGTCACTGTTTTGGATCATTTCCATTTGTAATGGTTTGTTTGAGGTTTTCTCCGTGGGTGGGAAATATGTACTGGCGTTAACATTAGTCGTGAATTTTTCATATTCATTACTTTGTACTGAGTTCGGTAGAGAATCTGCATTGTTGATAGGGCCCTGAAATGGAGGAAGATAGAGATCTGGTGACCGCTGTGTAGATGAGCTGTAGAATACTTGGTTCTGAAGGATACGAGCATTATGAAATCGAATAACAGTCGTGGGGTTTGAAGTACTCGAGTTCAGGGACGACAAAGCTTCGGGCTCAAGCTTAGCATTTTCTGGAGTATGAGGAATATCGTAAGTATTCATTCGTCGTGACCAATCATCTTGGATATTTGTTAGTCGACCGCGCCCGCAATACCCATCCTGACTTACAATTGCTGTTCTCGCGGGGTTCCATTTCTCCAAACCTCATCTTGTATCATTATGGCATTAATCAATATTGTCGATTTAAGATTGGAGTGCAGCAAGTATAAGTTGTGCGTCGTAAATTCTAGTAAAATGTAAAAGGCTGGCGCCGTTCAGCCATCGTATTTTCCAGTACCGAAACACAGAAAGCATTAGAGGTAATACCCTGGCGCACGGTAAGACCTAATTGGCAAGCCCAGAATATGAGTCCAGCCTTCAAGTGGAACTGACGAGACGAATGGACAGAGTTATTGGAACGTGGATTGAGGGAGGCTGGTTGGAGACGGTTCGCAGACTTTAGGGTCATCTGTTTGGGAGGGCCCAACAGCTTAAATGCGAGCCATAGGGGGACTAAGAGAACTTCTGTTGTAACGAAGTGTCCATGAAAAGACCGGTTGTTAGATGCATAGACCGAGCTGTTGGCATTCTGAATGGTTCCGTGATTCCGATGCTTTCTGTTCTATACAGATCCCCGCCCAGATACACATGATTAGTCTCTCTAGAAGAGTCCCCGCCGATAACAGGCAGGGAAAGGGTTCAAGAAGTGTGGAGTTGCTTTTTTTATTATTCCAGAACATAAAATTGGTGCCATGAAATTTCGTACTGGTGGAGACAGACAATCCGGAAGCTCAATTGCGCACATTGTAATATTGGAAGCAGACTCTCTGAATCATCACATGGCTCCTAATCCCATCTATGCTGCTAAGAGAGACATGTCAAATGGGAGACGACAATTAACAGTCACGATGAGCTGGCGATGAGAGGCCATCGGCTTCAATGGGATTTGAGGTGGTGTAGCCAGTGCTGCCCATGAAGCGCCGATCTCCCAACACAAACCTGGCCCTTCATCCGCCTCGGCTACTGGCCAGCCAAGTCCGGGGTCCTAGCACTACGCGTCACGCGTCGTCCCCGCCACTGAAGCCATGATCCAATGAGCATGGCCGAGCCAGATTCCCTCAGGGACACAGCTCGGGACCGCTGGACACGCTGCCACTCTGATCCACTACCGTGCCCAACTCTCGCGGCTATGATATTAGCACCTGGGCTATGGGCTCTACAAGTGCTCTGATGTCACGTAGAGCAGAAACGTCTTTGGCGCGTCTTAGATTCTCCCCGCGCAGGGAGGGCAAAGGAGAGGCCTGCATCGAACTATCCGGCCGCAGTGGGGCCAGGACAGTGGTATTTTAAGCTACGCGGCTTAGCCCGTGCAAGCTCGCTGAACAGAAGCAATCATAGTGCTGGGAGCCTCACCGGTCTCTACCAGCGCGCCTAGGACCGGCTTCTGGATCCCGTCGCCGCCGTCGATGAGTACCTAGTCGTTGGTAGATCCGAGTTCGTGACCCGCTCAGTCGCGCAGCCAGTCGCTCGAGCTGGAAGGAAATGTGACCACTCGAATGATTTGTTTTTCCTTTGACGCTGGAAGCCGTCAAGCCTAAACAGCCGCAAGTGGCCTTGTATGGCTAGTTCAGGTGCCCATCGACCGGCGGCCTTGATCAGTCACCGCTGTGGGGGGATTAGTCGCGTAGAGAAGCTGAGTCGGTTTAATAAATGTGAGGAAGTCTAGTGTCTGCCTGGTAGCTTCTCCTACTGCTGCATGCACCAGCGTCATGAGGACAGGAACGGTCGGTTGCCCTGAGTCGGCTCGAAGAGGCGCATCGCCGTCATTCCTCGATCGATACTGCACCAAGTGTGTTGGAATTGCGCGTTGTGGAATGGCAAAAGGGGGCATCTTAGTGAGGCACAGCGGTCGCGCAGAGGTGCACAATGCGCCCCTTGCCCCTTTCGGATGGCCTGAATCCAAACGCCATGAGAGCGACATGCTCACGCGTGCAGAGCCCCACATTACCATGGGTACACGAGGTTGGGATTACGAGATGCAGCTAGCTACCTGGCACTCCATCACTGCTCCTAGCCGTGGCCCGTTGCCCTAGCGCACGGCTTAGCCTATTTGACTTACGTGACCGGATAATCAGCTTCATTATGCCCACGTCAACTGAAGGCCCATTACTACCAACGGCTGCATCTGACATCCGAGTTCTCCAACCCGGAGTATTGTGAGATAAGTTCTGCAATAGGCTCTGTTTCCAGTCTCATCAGATTCGAGTAAGCTGCCTCGGGAAACTTTGTGTTCGCAATTAAAAAAATAAACATTCCAACTATCAGGCCATTTCAGTGTTTGTGTCATCAATTACAATGTTAGTAGCCCATACGTCAGGGGGTCGTGGCATAATTTAAGTATCATCTATCTCACGGTTCCGGAAGAGCGGTCATCTACACTCTACTAGCAGCCTGATTTGAAACGAGACCGGGTACTTGGTGAGGCCTTATTTTCTAGCTAGGCGATGGTGAAGCTACTTTGATACGGAAAACACCGCGAAGGGTTTTAGCCACCTTCTTCTTACTATCTGTGCCCTTTTGTACGGCCTTTTGCCACGTTCCATCTTTCATCTGACCATAATCTCCTATCCAACATGACATTCCACCCATAGTAAACTTTTGCTTCAGCTGAAGTAGTCGAAAACGTCCATATGTTTTTCCATCAGTGCTCTGCCGTGAAATGGCAGCATCATCCTCGTCATCATCGTCGCTGTCCCAGCTACTCTTCTCGCCATCTCGCAAATTACTAGGACTAATTATTTCTACTGGCCTTTGGGTGTAGCGGTGTGCCTGCCCTTCTTGCTTGTCCCAACTCCGCCGTTGCACCTGTTCCTTATAATATGATGTAGCCAAAGGATGCGTTGATTGGTTATCGTCGCGCGGAGAACAAACAAGAGTTGCGCAAGTGCTTAGATCTGATATGCGAGATGGAGTCGTCGACTTGGTGTGGGTTTGTATGGACGTGATAACAGAGGGTGTTTCCATAGGTATAGTGCCAGCCCGTTGACGGAGAGGGCGCGGAGGAGGGGAAAACCGAGAGGGCCATGACTTGTGCGCAAAATGGACAGGCGCGCTTCGCCTTGCCATGGTTACAGTAGAAGCCGACTCAACGCCGCGAACTGATAGCAGAGAAGATGAGCTGTGAGTGCGTTGTGAGTAGGTAATACCTAGTTCAGTCGTAGTTGCTCGGCGAGAAAGTGTAATAGGATTGCTGTATATGGGAGACATAGTACCACTTGCATATCCATCTCTATCATGAAGAGACACAAGGCAGTTGTCGGTGATGTCGTGTCCCTCCCAAGGGCCTTTGCTTTGAGTCTGAAAGATCACGGACGTTTTACGAGGTGCAATTTCAGATGAGTGTGACGATCGATGGCCAAATGGAGTGATTTCAGGGTCGATCTCGTGATCTCGCCCCGACGAGGGACGAGCGTTGGATATTGTCGATATTAATTCCTCCGCCCCTTCCGGCTGTGGTTGATTGAAGCTAATTATAGTGGTAGGGTTCGAGAGAGAGTTAGATGTGTAGCTGTGATGGATAGATGTTCGTTGACGTTGCACCTGGCGCGATATGTGGGAATCAGCATGTTCCATTTTCATCAACCCTTCGGCAATAATAGATTGATCGAATTAATTGATGCTGATAAGGGAAGCCAGATTTTGAGTAAAGTATTTAGGATGAAGAAGGAGCTTTCTTGAGTAAAATCGGGTGGGCGTCAGGGCGAATGTGATGGAGAATTCTTGGGTCTCCTACATTCGGGTCGATTTGGGAACACGGTGACTTCTTATGCAGGTCGTGAAAACTTCCATAGCATTTTCTCGACTCACTGCCGGATGACAACCCGTTGAATTGTTTTTCTTGGAGGGCGATATGCATGATCGCCGTGCCCCCTGACCTCCGCACTCACGCCTCCCCCATCAGCACGCATGCGCTATGCTACCGCGGCCCATCCTCAAGCGAGGGGCGAAGGGTCATAGTCTGGTCGTTGCTTTTGTTTTGTTTCTTTCGAATGTATGTGCGTTTGGAGTTGCGTGACACATTTCTTGATTTTTACAGGTCTATTGCGCCTCTCCATTCGTCTGGGCGCTCTGATTGGCTTGATGTTAAGGGGAGGAGGTGATGAAGCTATCTGCGTATAACATCTTTCGTGGGACTCGAGTCTGCCTGCCATAACCTATCACTTACCACAAACTCGAGCGGGCATGCAGACACTAGAGAATTTGGCAACATACAACGCTTCGCTGCCACCTACCAGCCCCCTCCATAATGGTTAGATCATGCTGTTATCCGCCCATTCTCGAGTAGCCCTCATGCTCCAGAATCTGGCGAAATGTTGTTCAATGCCGTCAGATAAAATTGAAGATCTTGCACCAGGGTGCACACGCATTAAATGCGCTACAACATCGCTTTTGACCCCAATCATGCTGATGAGAGGGACAAATGTCGCTCAATGCCACCTGTATTTTTGGTAGTGATTGGGAGAATTGAAGGCTTCCCCTCTCAATTGCCTCTGTCTCCTTGTCATCCAGGGATCTAGACGTCTTGTGTAGTTCGCCCCGGCGGCTGACCCTCATCAAGCACGGTATCATCTATGCAAAGACCCTTACCACAAGCAAAAATGAGTCCTCGCGATGTACGAATCCATAGGAGACGTTAGTTAAAAACCGAAATTTATTTCTCGCTCTAATTAGACCTCTTGTTAGACGAATGGCCTCTGATTTCCACTAGTATCGTCTGTAGATTTATCTACTACCATTAATTGAATTATTATGCCTTTTAGGTGAGGTAAGACAGACATCAGTTTCTTAGCTCGATCGCCTCGACGAATCACGCGCACGAAGACGAGTGAGGTTAGGGACGCCCATGCCGCAGTTATCGAGATAAACATTGTGGTATGGTAAGCTGGTGCGGGATCACCCATCACGGCTATCCCTCAGGATAAGCTTGCGGCAACTCGGCGTAGCGTGGTAGCGTCGTGACAAGATAAGGTGTTGCCGCCATGACTCTGTGCAACCAACGATCAGGTGGCGGTAGAAACAAAAGCCAGAGGCGCGTACGCAGAGGATTCGATAATTCATGTAGACAGAGAAGCAGAAGCCACTGTTATGGTACCATTCTGCTCCATTTCCAAAGGCCTCTTAATTTATCCGCGTTCAAGGACGACTGACAAAATGGTCCATCACACTAGCGCCTTTTGACGATGGTCCAAGATGGCAGGCATTAATCGCATGAGAAAGATTTGCATTTGTGCTACTCTATTGCCTCTCGGCTCACTTGTGCAGTACGATTTTTGATGTTACAAGTAGCACGGCCCTCAATACACTGCACATACCTCCTTTTATACCGCTTGTACAGTTAATTATCTATGTGCATCACCAACTTCCCACCTCTCCTTTTACTGTCATCACTAATGCCCGCGGAGGACAAAGACTAAACACCTGTACAAGGTATCCTCCACGAGCCTGCGAGTGAAATGTTCTCCCAGAGCCAAGTTCTGTCAAACTTCGCAATACCGAACAAGTTAGCCCACGAGGCAATGATTCAAAATACTCTACCATGTCAAATTTTCACACCCTACAAGATCGATTTATACCTAAGTCTCATCAAGTCTACGAGTACGACTTAGTAGATCCACTTTCCAATGGACAAACTTCTCTTCGACTATCTATGGCCTGAGCTGGTTACCAAATACACGCCCGCACCAATTTTTATAACCGCTAGACGAAGCTAAGTGTAGCGCACAAATCTGGGAGGCAGCTCTTTGGGATGAACGTGAGGGAAGTCAGGACAAAGTTACAAGATAATGTAGATGGTGCATACTATGTCGACAGGTTTTAAATTTTGAAGTTTGGCAAGGAATTTGACAAATTGAGCTCAATGCGCACCAAGAATTCGAATGCGAGAGTACAGCTGACACTATAAAAATAAGTCAACGATGGAAGGTGCCGTGGTCTGCCTCCTGGTGGTGTTCTCTGGTATGGCTCGAGTAGCATGGGCACCTACTCCACTTAGGAAAAAGACATCCAAGATCATATTTCGCGTGGAGTAAAGTGAACGGATGATGGAGGCATATCTGGATAACTCAGGGTTTTTGAGACGTTCTCCTGGGTGGGTATTCACGGATGAGGGTTGACTTGGGGTGAAGAAAAAGCCACCATAGCTTCGCAGTGGTACTTGCAAATGAAATCCGATGCATGAGTGCTCTAATATTATTTTGAATCACCTATTCTGTACTCTATCTCTGATATTGTGTCATAGCTACATCGATTAGATTAGATTTTATCATAGTCCTGTCTGAGTCTATGACTATGGAGAACTTATATCTACATAGTTGCGCACGTAAATGAAATCTGATGCAAAAAAATACAACGCCCGCTCTAACAAGGAATAAGAGACGCTACAAGGCTGGATACATTTCAAATTTTGTTTTGCTCGTTTGAATAGAATGGTAGATATCCCAATTTTTTACAAATGATGAAAGCCAAGGGTGATATCCAAATCCGGTCATCCATGGATGATTGGGTAGAAGAAACGGAAGTACAAAGGATTATTCAGTTACGTGTAACGTGAATGTCGAGAATCAGCAGGAGCTACTGGGCAGATTTGGATCTGCGTATTGGATGAACTCAACCGCTGATCAATAGGATAGGCAGAATTCACAGCGAAAATTCATGATCGAAAGGCATAGGATCTCTCTTGTGAACCAATTTTGGGAATCCCACCATTAAATCAAGGAACCCACTAATTAGAATGGAACAGATAGGATGTTTTTGAATAGTTTATCATACATAGGGCATGACCCTCATTATCTATTGGCAAGCATTGAAAATACCAAAAAAATAATTATTCATATTGAAATCTAGATCTATTTATATATTTTTAGCAGTCCATCATAGTCACAGACTCAGTAGGGACTTAAATTAAATTCTATTCTATTCTATCATACATAGTTCTAAACTTAAACAGGACACCAGTGGATTAAAAAAGAAAAGGCATGGGATGGCCCCGTGCAACACAATCAAGATTTGGAAGTTTTCCCAGATATCTCATAATATTAAACTCTACGAATATACTGTACATCTAATGTGGAAGGATGACTATTCTCAACACCTGTCAGTGGTGTCCCATATGAACCTCTAGCTCTCACTGTAGAGCCTGCAGAGCCGAGATTGAGTAACAAGGTCCTCACTTCGACAAGGAATCCCATTCGCTTTGGCGGTCTATATCATCATCATCATCCCTAGCCACAACTCCATCACCATTATAATGAAGCTGATCACGATCAGATCAGATGGTGCCGGCAAAGTCGAATTCTTCACCTTCCAGTGGTGCTGGTGTAATCGCTCAGTATGCTCTGCATATCTGGGATAGCCAAGAATAAATGCATCCTTTGCAACGGCATCTTGCTGAGCGTGGCCCAGTTGATTTCGATTGACATATGGGCTAGGTCTGTTCCCAGCACGATAGATCAAAAGTTGAAGTTTGGGTCTCTTCTATTCAGTCTTCTAACAACTTCCCGATGAGTTTGACTAGGAGGACTTTAAGACTCACCAACAACCCTCCAAATTCAAAGGTAAAATTCCTTTCGCTTTCAACCTTACTAACATTGTGTGCAGGACTGGGAAATTGCTCGGCCTCATTTTAGACAAGCACCTCGACCGCGACATCAACATTATCAACTTTTCGACACATTCCAAAGACGGCGCGAACGAAGAAGCCTCACTCAGACAACGAACAATGTACGACAAAATCTGGGGCACCGATGCCTCGGTTTTGAGCTCTCGATTTCGGAATTTCAGCCCTCTCGAATGGGGGTTGAGCGCAATGCAGGGGAGAATTTGGGATGAACGATATGTGATTTTCAACAGGCTGTTGGCACAGTTGGTCGGGTGCTGGATGTGCTTTCCAGAAGTGGTAGGTTGGATTCCTACACGGCCTGTTTAAGGGGGGACTACGGCTGCTCGTCGTGAAAGAGTACAGGAGGAATTATTGAGGTTTTCCCACAAAGGTTTTCCCTCAATACATGGTCTTAGGATCATGGTGAATGCGTTCCTACCTATTCGACCCGATGTAACTGGCGTGAGCCACGTATTTGGAAAAGTCAGGCACCGGATGGGCTTTGCTGGAGAATGGAGGAACTTGTATTCTAGATGTCCTCCATGCGTGTCATGTCCATTGGATGGAGGGTGTAAGCCTGGCACGATAAATAGAATCATCATCATCATCAGATCAGATGATAGGGCCTGGGCCCATCTCATCTCCCACTCTTGGTCATAGAAGAGACGCCATCCGATGAGTTTCCAGAGCTTACTAAGCACCCGATACGGAGATGGTGGATTGGATCAAGTCGGCCTCGAATGCTACAAAGAAGGGAGATATAGATGAAAATGAGCTCCTCCTATAATTCCGGTGACAAGCTTCGCCTGGCCGGCGCTGTAGGTTTCCCGCGCACTCAGTTTCCACTGCCACCATTATTATTTTTTTGGGCAGAAGGTTCCGTGGAAAAAGTGGCCGAATTCCACGGGCAGACACTGAGCTGAATGGCATTCATCACGGGCAATATATCAATGCTCTTTGAAGTAACAAAAGAGTACAGGAG